GTTGTCCAGCTAATTTCTTTCCATTTCTTTTAGTAGAGACCAGTCTCACTCTTGCTCAGGCTGGTCTTGAACTCTTGAGCTCAACAATCTGCCCGCCTCGGCCTCCCAGAGTGCTAGGATTACAGGCGTGAGCCACTGTGCCTGTTCTAGACCACGATTTGTTTATCCATTCATCTGTCAATACACATTTGGGTGGCTTCTACCTTTTGGTTATTGTGAATAATGCTGCTATCAACATGGATGTGCAAATAGTTCTTCAAGACTCTGCTTTCAGTTCTTTTGGGTACATACCAAGAAGTGGAATTGCTGACTCATATGGTAATTCTATTTTTAATTTTTTGAGGAAGAGCCACCCCGTTTTCCACAATTATACATTCTTCCAACAGTGTGTTAGGTTTCTACTTTCTCCACATTCTCACCAATACTTGTTATTTTCCATTTTATTAATATAATAATAACGATTCTAATGGATATGAGGTTGTATCTTATTTTAGGTCTGATTTGCATTTCCCTAAGTATTAGTGACATTGAGCATCTTTTCATATAGTGCTGACCATTTGTATATCCTCTTTATTTGAGTCCTTTGTCCATTTTTTAATAGGGTTATTTGGGTTGTTTCTGTTTAAATATTTTATTTCCAGTAAGTGAATCAAGTCCTCACCCTCTCTAATTTTTAACATTCTCTGGCCAAGCGTGCCACAAGATATTTTCCTGTTTAGAAGTGCTTAGGAATAGAGAGAATGTTGCTCTCAAGAAATCTTGAAGTTGGAAAGGAAGCGTTTTATAAACAAACCTCTGATTGCTACCTGTTGCCCAGAACTCTTGGAAAAGTTTTGATACGTAAGAAGTCGTTCATAAAGATATTATTGGGCCATGTACGGTGGCTCATGCCTGTAATCCTAGCACTCTGGGAGGCCGAGGCGTGCAGATCGCTCAAGGTCAGGAGTTCGAAACCAGCCTGAGCAAGAGCGAGACTCGTCTCTACTATAAATAGAAAGAAATTAATTGGCCAACTAATATATATACAGAAAATTAGCTGGGCATGGTGGTGAAAACCTGTAGTCCCAGCTACTTGGGAGGCTGAGGCAGGAGGATTGCTTGAGCCCAGGAGTTTGAGGTTGCTGTGAGCTAGGCTGATGCCACGGCACTCACTCTAGCCTGGGCAACAAAGTGAGACTCTGTCTCAAAAAAAAAAAAAAGATATTATTATTGTTGTTGATATTATCAATCTCAGTCATTTCAGTTTAACATTAATGAAGTGCCTACCACATAGTGTGCTATGGATACGTTACAGTTAATTTAAACAAAACAGACACAAAATATTTGAACTCCTTTGACCCAACCCATAAGCTAGACTCAGCTCAGAGCCATTCATTTGGATCTTTTTTTCCTTTTCCTTTTTCCCTTTTCCCTTTCTCTTTCCCTTTCCCTTCCTTTCCTTTCTTTTCTTTCGGAGTTAAAAGCTGCAGATCTCTTCTGATCTTTCCTGTCAAGTCTTCCCTCTCTGAATAAGGAAGTATGCAACCTTAAACAAGCCTGCTCTTTGGGTTGGGCCTCTCAATTTTCCCAGGCCCTACCCAGGGGAAAAACACACTCCATCTGAAAATCTAGATTTCTTTAAAATTCTTGGTAAGGTTTTGGAGAGACTCCCTAGACAAGGCTATCATTTGTGCATTTATTTTTATTTATTTATTTATTAAATTTCAGAATATTACAGTGGTACAAATGTTTTGGTTACATGGATTGCTTTTGTGCTGCTTGAGATATAGTTATAAGTGTGCCATCACGCAGATAGTGTACACTATATCCATTACATTTCTGTTTTTTTTTTTTTGAGACAGAGTCTCGCTTTGTTGTCCAGGCTAGAGTGAGTGCCGTGGCGTCAGCCTAGCTCACAGCAACCTCAAACTCCTGGGCTCGAGCAATCCTACTGCCTCAGCCTCCCGAGTAGCTGGGACTACAGGCATGCGCCACCATGCCCGGCTAATTTTTTTTTATATACATATCAGTTGGCCAATTAATTTCTTTCTATTTTATAGTAGAGACGGGGTCTCACTCAGGCTGGTTTTGAACTCCTGACCTTGAGCAATCCGCCCGCCTCGGCCTCCCAGAGAGCTAGGATTACAGGCGTGAGTACATTTCTGTTTTTAAATAGAAGCTTATAGTTCAATCAGAAAAAAACTTCTGGTTTCAATTTGTTGAATCATATACAAAAACATCGACCTGACTGTAAAATATGAACAGCTATCCACAGGATTTTCAATGTAGGCATACATTCATTCCCAGACAGTCTCTTGTCCATATGTACCTTCCATATAGTTTTGTGTCTCATAACCCTTAAGAAGCCACTGCATGTGAAAATATCTGGAGCCTGCTTTAAGAACACCATATAATTCCATGGGTTAAGGAGACAGCAGAACTCATTCAAGGCTCATGGTCTCACAGAATGTTACTACTAGAAAGGTCCCTAAAGATTATCTAGTCAAATCACCCTAGTGTTAGAGGAAGAACTGAGACCCAGAAAGGATAGTCATTTCCTCAATGCCATAAAAAGTCACTAGGTGTCCAGAATTCACATAGGGTTCATTAGATGTCATAGTTCTTTTTCCCTATTAATGTTTATTTTCTGAGATGCTTCTTGATATTACATTTTCCTATTTATTGAACATGAAAATAATCATATTGCTGAAAATCCTTGTAATATATACTTGAATGCCTTAAATAAAAGTATCTTATTAATACAATTCCAGATTTCAAGAAAAAGTTTTGTTAGAACTAGCACCAGGTGGCCAAGTTCTAGAGAAAGTGCTTCCAGGCACCTGTGAATAACTCTTCAGATTTGAGACAGTAGGTTTTCTAGAGAAGGAAAACCACTAAGCTCCTTTTTCATCTGGAGCCTGGTCAGGTCTCCTGTCTAAAATTCCTCCCAAAAGTGTGGGACACTTTGTTTTGTGGTAAGTAGGATTAAGGCATACTAAGGTGCTTTGGATTAAGATCTTGACATCAACACAAACACATCTACATCCATATGACAACAAAAAAGTGACTTTCATGTAAAGGTGAAGGTAAAAGTTTAGGTAGGTGTCTGAGAATAATAAAAGCCCAGATATCCCCAGGGGAAGAGTTAAGCTCAGGTATACCTCAGGACCTTGATACTACTGCCACTGAACATCTGGAATCATCCAGATAACTAACAGTACAGTCTATTATTTCAGGGAGGTCACAAAAATCTGTGGGCCTCACACTATGTGTGATGCAGTGAGGTAACAAACAAGCTTGCAAAATTGCTTCTGCATTTCCTGATTTAGGAAAGAGAAGCAGTGGAGGTCTAAATGTGTATTATGTCTGTTAGGGAATCTGTATGTACTTGGTCTAGGATTGGTTGCTTGCACAAAAGAGAAGTGGCCAAAATTAACAATCTCATATACTGAATATGAAACCCATTCAAAATCTTGGCCAGGTCCTCAAAGAATCAATGAATCTATTTTCCCTTCCTGATAGATAAATTCGGTTGTCTTGTATCTAGTTGTGTGGATTCATAAATTATTTAAAAATACAGAGGGTCATTTTCTCTGATCCAAAAATTCCTGGTTTGGGGGTAGTTGAAATGAAACTCTGAAGTCCTATCCTCCGTATGGGCATTTAAGACCCAGGGGCCACATTCTAGAATGAAATATTGCCCTGGTTCCACAAAACACAGTTTATAAACCAAAAGACATCGACTAGAGCATCTTAAACTAAGTCTAATAGCCATTCTATTTTATCAAACAGTAAATATGTATTGGCATGAAAAAATATTAACTATCAGTATAACTGGGCCATATACTGTTTTATACGTCTAATAGGCTGGTGAAAAGGAAAGAGATGGTTAAATAAGGCTTAGGAAAGGCTATTCCTATCTAAGAGCAAAGCAGGCTGAGGGCACCAGTGGCGCAGCCAAGTGCGTAGTGGAGGAAGTTTGATGTAGAAAGTACTGAGGCAAACACATTGGTGTCTGGAAACAATCAGAAGATGCCAGAAGGAAGTAGTAATGGATAATTCTAGAAAATTCTAGAGCAAGGAGCAGAGCGGGTCAGTGTTAAACTAGGATGAGTACAGTTGAGTTTCTCCCCAATCTAAGGCACAAGATAGGAGAGAAAGGAACCGTAGGAAACAGCCCCGCTGGGGGGACTGGGGGTGCGGGAACAAGGTGCGTGTGAAGGGCCACGAGGGACTAAGAGAGAGGAGGAGCGGGTGATGACAGCTGAGCAGCGCTATTAGGAGGAGGGCCCTGCCAGGATAATGAAGGGAGGAGGCTGTAAAGTACGGGTCGGCCCTGCAGGGTAAACCGTGGGCAGGGCTAGCAGAGAGGAAGCCCAGGCTGGGCGGGCGTGGCCCAGGCAGGGGACGGCGCAGTAACGGGCTCCGGGCGAAAAGAAGGGTGGGCCAGCGCCTTGCTGACGGCTGCTCTCAGATGGCGCCTACAGGGTTAAAGCCAGGGGCGACCAGGCCAGGACGAACTCGGTTTCCAGGGTAACGGCGCCGACAGTTCCGGCAGCGCAGGCTCGTACCATTGCGCGGCGCGCGGGGGAGCGGCGGGCGGAGGGACGCGGCCAGGCGGGCGGAGGGCGGCTCGGGCGCTACCAACCGCGCGGCCGCCTGCTCGCCCGGGTTGCGCCGAGCCGCGGCGGCCTGGAGCAGGGCCGGCAGCGCCCAACCGCCCGCGGACGGCGGGGGAGCAACGCGCGCCCGGCGGCCCGGCGTGGCCTCCTGGTCCCCCCGCCGGGCGGCGGAGTGCGGGCGGCCCGGGGCTGGGAGGTTTGAAAAGCCGGCGAGAGACAAAGGCGGCAGGAAGCGTCCTCGGCGCCCGGAGCCTGTGCGCCCGGCCCCGGGCCCCTCGCCGGCCCGCCGGCCCCGGAGCAGCGCGGGGCGGGAGGCGGAGGATGCGGCAGGGGCGTGGGGGCGGCGGCGGCGCGGCGCGGCCGGAGCGCGGCGCGGCCAGACCGGGCGGCGGCGGCCGGGCTCGGGAGTGAGTCGGCGGGCGCCCTCGGCGCCGGGGATGTGAGGAGCGAGCGGAGCCCGGGGCGGGGTGGCAGGAAGGAAGGAGGACGGACGCACCAGGAGGAGGAGCGGCGGCGGCGGCCGGAGCCGGAAGGCGGGGAGGGGCCGTCCGTTGGGCCCGAGGCGGCGGCGGCCGGGGCGGCCCGCTCTCGTCGCCTTCCCGGGCGGGAGCGGCCAGGCCCGCGCCTCCGCCCCAGCGCCGCGGAGGGGAGGAGGAAGATGGAGACCCACATCTCGTGCTTGTTCCCCGAGCTGCTGGCCATGATCTTCGGCTACCTGGACGTGCGGGACAAGGGGCGCGCGGCGCAGGTGTGCACGGCTTGGCGGGACGCCGCCTACCACAAGTCGGTGTGGCGGGGGGTGGAGGCCAAGCTGCACCTGCGCCGGGCCAACCCGTCGCTGTTCCCCAGCCTGCAGGCCCGGGGCATCCGCCGCGTGCAGATCCTGAGCCTCCGCCGCAGCCTTAGCTACGTGATCCAGGGCATGGCCAACATCGAGAGCCTCAACCTGAGCGGCTGCTACAACCTCACCGACAACGGGCTGGGCCACGCGTTCGTGCAGGAGATCAGCTCCCTGCGCGCCCTCAACCTGAGCCTCTGCAAGCAGATCACCGACAGCAGCCTGGGCCGCATAGCCCAGTACCTCAAGGGCCTGGAGGTGCTGGAGCTGGGGGGTTGCAGCAACATCACCAACACCGGCCTCCTGCTCATCGCCTGGGGGTTGCAGCGCCTCAAGAGCCTTAACCTGCGCAGCTGCCGCCACCTCTCGGACGTAGGCATCGGGCACCTGGCGGGCATGACGCGCAGCGCGGCCGAGGGCTGCCTGGGCCTGGAGCAGCTCACGCTGCAGGACTGCCAGAAGCTTACGGATCTTTCCCTAAAGCACATCTCTCGAGGGCTGACCGGCCTGAGGCTCCTCAACCTCAGCTTCTGTGGGGGCATCTCGGACGCCGGCCTCCTGCACCTGTCGCACATGGGCAGCCTACGCAGCCTTAACCTGCGCTCCTGTGACAACATCAGTGACACGGGCATCATGCATCTGGCCATGGGCAGCCTGCGCCTCTCGGGGCTGGATGTGTCGTTCTGTGACAAGGTGGGGGACCAGAGTCTGGCTTACATAGCCCAGGGGCTGGACGGCCTCAAGTCCCTCTCCCTCTGTTCCTGCCACATCAGTGATGATGGCATCAACCGCATGGTGCGGCAGATGCATGGGCTGCGCACGCTCAACATTGGACAGTGTGTGCGCATCACGGACAAGGGCCTGGAGCTGATTGCTGAGCACCTGAGCCAGCTCACGGGCATAGACCTATACGGCTGCACCCGAATCACCAAGCGCGGCCTGGAGCGCATCACGCAGCTCCCCTGCCTCAAGGTACTCAACCTGGGACTCTGGCAGATGACGGACAGTGAGAAGGTCAGGTGAGGGCGGCAGCACCAGCTCCCCTTGTCCCGCCCTGTGCGCCCTCCTAGCACCGCCACCGCCCCCCACACTCACGCACACTATGCACAGATCATCGTGGTGGATGACATGGGGCAGTGACAGAAGCCTCAGGCTCCTTTTCTCCTTCCCCCTCCGGCGCCCCTCCCTGCTCCCAGCCCATTCTCAGTGATCTGGGGTTCCTCCGCTGGCCCTCCCCTACTCCCCTCTCCTTTTCCGAGCCGATGGAGAGCCGGACTCAGCTCTACCCACCACTCCTCTCTGCAGGGGATGGAGGACGGATGCAGCTACTGTATGCCTGCTGTGTTGCTTTTGGAAATTGGGGTGGGGAGTCCTTTCAACCCTGGGAGTTGAGAAAAATGTCTGCCTTCACTTAAGCTTTCATTTGAATACTGTGATCTGGTTTTTATTTTGAAGTGCATAAAAAGCAAACCCAACTACAACGGCCTTTTCACCCTTCTTCCACTTAGTGACTAATCCCAGTCTCTTCTCATCACTTCTCCTTTTACAGTACTCTGCTACTCACGTTCATTTCATTTTTATCTTCTTTCCTTTTTAAAATTTTTTTGAAGAAATTTGAAATCATGGTCCTTTTTTTCTGCTGAATATATTCTATATATTATATATATATATAAATTTTATATATATATATATATATATCTGGCTACCTCGTTTTAGTTTACTTTTTTCTCTGAAGCCCTGGAATTCTACAAGAGAGATATTTTGAGACTGAAACATTTTTGTGCCTAGACTGGAAAGATTCCCACTGGGTTTGTGTGTCTTTTTTGTTTTGGCTTGCCATCCTCCATGCATCCAGTGTGCCCCATTTCCACATTCTGGCTATCATTTTCTTTTTCTCCTTGCCCATTGGAATTTGACGACCCAATGGTGTTTCTAAATCTTGACTTAATTTATAGCACAAATATGTGGGAGAAATGAGAGTTGAACTGTTGTTTGAGATGCAGATTGTGTTGAAAATGATTGTTATATATGCAAATTCAGCCCCACCCTCACCCTCTTGCAAGTTTCCCCTCAGAAAGGTCTGCAGGAGGCTTCCTGGGGGAAGCAGAGGGGCAGCGCTGGCCCGAGAGACCCTGGCCTGTAATGTGAAGGGAGAGAGACAGAAACTCATGTCTTATCTGTGTTCTATTAATAAAATGGGAGTTTGTGGGTTTTAAAAAAATTCTGTTTCTAAATGGAGGAATAGATGACTTTCTTTATTTTGGTGGGGGTTGGGACTTGTGGCTTTAAAAAAAACTCACTTTTGAGTAGGATGTATATTTTCGTTGGATTTTGTTTGTTTATTTTTTTAGAATCCTCCACAGCAACATGTGAGACCATGGAGTCAAAGATACCCAGAGACCTTTATCAATTAATTGTACTGTTTGTGAATTTGTATAAATAATAACAAAGATCCTCTTAAAACATTTATATTCTTACAGTAAAAGGTTAAACTGATATTTATATAATAAAAGAGGAAATATGAAGTATGTTTTTGAAAAAAAAACCACAAAAAACCTTGTATCTGTGAATTATTTTTAAGGCATTGTGTGCTTGGGTACAAGGCAAAGCAGGAGGTGCTGTTTGTGTTAGAGTCAGAGGAAATAAGGGATATAGCTTGGTGCATCCTATATGGTGTGAGTTAAGCTCATGGTTAAAATTTTGCTCTGTATAAGGTTTACTGCTGACATCCAAATGTTTTGTTTCTAGGAATATGGTTAGACTAGAGATTTATATAATTTTTGGCTTTAAACTGTCAATAACATGGAAAATTTAAAGAAATTGGACAGAATGAAACTTTAAAATAACATTTGTAAGTCACAATTTCCACAGTTTTTCTTTGGGTGGAAATGAGATCTAGGGGTGATGTTGGCAAGTGGGCCCTGAGACGGGGATGTGGGCAAGAAAGATGGATTTCTTTGCCCTTAGAGTGGGTGTGGGGAGGGTGTGCAGGGCGGAGGGGCTGAAGCCATTGTTCAGGAAAGTTGAAAGAGCCCTGGCTGTCCCTGCATGCTGGCTTGCTCAGTCATGCATACTGAATCTGTGTGTGAGCGGGTCCAGGGGAAGGAGGAGGGCAGCTCAACCCCTCTTCAGCATTCCCCTCCAGGCCTGGCTGTGTGCAAGCGCTGCTCTGAGGGAGGAGAGGCTGGCGCAGGGTTCTCGCACATCTGCATCTGGTGCTCCCAGGGCAGAGGCCGGCCGCTCACCCACGCTGTGGAGGGTTTCAGACTGAATTTGGGGCAGATTGATGAATACCAACAATTCCAGCAGAGTTCACTTTAGTAGACAATAACTGACTAATCTGACACCCTGTGGTTGGGCTGTGGAAACCTATGAGTATAAATTATCAAACAGTAGAGTAATTCATTTTCTGGTTTCACATAGGTCTGTCTTAGTTGTTTCTGAGATTACTTAAAAAAACTGATCCCAGCAACAGCTGATAAGAGTAGTATAAAGCTTTCCTGGATCAACCCCTCTTTCCAGTAAGAGGGGTAGAACCCAGGTTTCTCTTGGGGTAAGATTATTTCGTAAAATTTCCAAGCTTTATGCTTGAATATATGACAAAAGCAGCATTGTTCCTTTTTGGAGAGCCGTCACAATTGGGTCTAATTGAGCCTGACACTAGATCCATCTTCCATTCCTTTCTTGGGGAAGGTGTGGATCTCTTTCTTCCCCCTTAGGTTATGCTCTTATTGCCTGGAAAAAAAAATGTGTGAGCCCTAATTAGAAGGGACTTTGAATTAGGGTCAGCTTTCTAATTCAGCATTTGACACACTCATGAAGGCTACACAAGTTTTAGGTTCTTGGTCTGTTTTCTTCCTAAGAGACTACATAGTTGTTGAGATTCAACTGATGAAAATTTGAGCACCTTCTAAGTCTTAGGCTCTGTGCTCACAGTCTTCATTTTAATACACAAAATAATCCTACCTCTTAAAACCTGGGGCATTTTCTGCTTTTGTATTGTTTCATTTTTTACATTCAAGGTTAAATATCAGCTTCACTAAAGGTTGGCAAATTAATGTTTGAAAGTTAAGGTCATGGCTCTAGTGTCCTCATCCTGAACAAGGCATACTTAATACCGTGTTTCCCTGAAAATAAAACCTACCCATAAAATAAGCCCTAGCAGGATTTCTAAGCATTTGCTCGATAGAAGCCCTACCCCGAAAATAAGCCCTAGTGATGGACATGGCTACGCAGCGCATCTGCACAACCCATGCATTTCGTCACAGAGTGGTAAAGATGAGCAGCCCTTCTCATCTGCCCCATGAGAGCTCTATTGCTCGACATGAGAGATTGGGGTCAATGGTTCTAAAGGAAATAGAGTCGCAAGAAATTCAGGAATTCAGGGTTTGGAGAGTTATGATGATGTTCCAGAAGAAGACGACTTAACAATATTTGAATAAATGTAGATTGTTGTACCGTACTTAAAAAAAAAACAACACATCCCCTGAAAATAAGCCCTAGGGTGTCTTCTTGAGGAAAAATAAATATAAGACCCTGTCTTATTTTTGGGGAAACATGGTATATCTGGAGCTTCTCTGGAAGAGGTGAATAAACCACTTCTATGGTCAGTGAAGGTCAATTGCTAATCTCTCAACCTATCAGAATGGAAAGAAACTATGTGTGCTTTGCATGGTACTTATAAGTTTTAATCCTCAAAGTAACCTGTGGAAATAGTTATCCCTGTTTTCCAGATAAGCCATAATTCCTCCCTTAAATGACTCAACCAGTAATTGAGGGAACCAGGATTCAAACCAGGTCTATTTCTAAAGTCCAGCTCCCTTCTGTTTGAGGAGAAGGTTTGGTTACTGATATACCTTGGTTTCAACAAGGTGCCTCTCAGAGAAGTGAGTGTAGCTGTTTGAACGGAGTATGAACAGGCTGATGCCATAGGGCATTACTTCAAAGGGAATAAGGGTGGTTTTTGGTATGAAAGGTTGATCCCACTATACCTACAGGAATGGAAGAAATGCTTTTAAAGAATAGACATGTGAAAGAAAATGAGTTGATATACATTTTGTGGGTAGTAACAGAAGTTAAAAGGTATGTCAGGGCAATTTTTAGAATAATTTAAAAATTTAAAAAACAAAATGTAAACTTAATATAAACCTTACCATCTAAAAGTAAAAAAATCTCAGGAGAAATTCTTTGCATAGTAGTCAAGAAACAGCTTCATATACCTTCTTTTTCTACGTCTCATTGGGCATAGCCCTTTAATGTCCGTACTGAAAAGATTACCTATAAATACAGCTGTGGGGTTCAGACAACTTCTGCAGCTCCCTAAGGGCACGACGGGCCTCTAGCTTGCCTCACTTACTAAAAGTGAAAGCCAGCACCAGCACATCCTTAACACATGAACTGCCATGTGAGTTGTATTTAACTCTCGCTAGTTTTGAGCCCAGGGCCTCGTGAAGCATATGGAGCTCACAGGTATCTTCCCCTTGGGAACTGCATGAACTATTTTTCAAGTTACATATAACTCACACACAGAAAATAATAAAAATAACAAATTTTTCATTAAATTAGAAAGGATCATTTTGTTTTCTAAGTTTTTGTTCTATTTTTGTAATAAAACACTGTGGCCCCAAGGAAAAAATTTTTTTCTACTGTGGCGGTCAATGTGTTAAACAGTTAAGAAAACTCTAACTGATTGTATTCTTTCATGACTCAAATTAACAACAAAGATCTAAAAAAAGTAAATGTTCCTGTTTCTTTTTAAAGGTAAGACCTTCCTCTTATATAAGGACAGGTATAGACTGAAGCATGGCCTATCCTCTAAATCCTGCAGTGGTTACTGGACAGATGCTGGTCTTGGAATATATGTAAAACCTTTCACTTTTGACTTAGAAAATTTGAACTCAGGTTTCCCAGGGGGAAAGGGTAGTGGCCCCCAGGGACCACTGTTTCCAAAGAATAAGAACTTCTTGATTAAAAGATCAGATCTGTAAAACAAAACCAAGACCTCATGCAGCTTCTGACAACGGTCTCTTCCCAGTGCTCTGAAAAGGAAAGCCCTGGCCTCTGAGCTCTGCTCTGTTCTGCTGTAGAAAGGGGGGCCACAGTGAGTCACCTAGTGTCCCTTCTCTCTGTTCTCTTTCTCTTCCCTGCATCAAACATCACCCATTTTAAAAGTTAATTCTGTTCCTTTAGCAGAGGGCAAGACCTAAATTTTGTGCCATTATGAACCCCTGAGGAGTCAGAAGGGTGAAGCTTTTTGATGAAATAATGTGGATCATGAATAAAGCACAGGATTAGAAATTGGAAAAGCTACATTCAAGCCTCAACTTATATTGGGCCACATACTTACCTAATTTATGTCAATATACTTGTTCAAATATTAGGTAGGAAGTTAAATTTTTTAAAAAGTCAATGTTGTAAAACAGATGAGGCATTCATATTTAGATCAGTGCCAACTATTAGTCATTTACAACTCATCAAAAGTAACTGCATAGCTGGAATAAGAACATATCTTCTTAGCTCTAGGATGGAAACAGGTATTTCTGGACAATTGGTGAATTTAAATATCCACAAATGATCAGTTTCAGTCTTTTCCTCTTTTCCAGGGATTGCTCTGAGTTTGCCTGGTGGAGTTGCCTTTACCAACCCAGGACATTTGGCACTATGTAAAGCCAAGTCTTCCAGTTGAGGCAGAAGAGAGAGCAAGCTTGAGATCTTAACTGCATAGCAGCAGAGTGGGTATGTTAACCCCTCCAATAAAAGAAGTGGAACTCCTCTGCTTGTTATTTGTTAGCCCAGAAAAGTGTACATATTTTCTTTAAAAAGAAGACTTAATTTTTTATTATCTCATTATTCTTCTACTTTAATTGTTTAAGGGACAAGTGCCACATAGCCTTATAAAAACCCTTACAAGGACACTTGTACCTGTGATAGTGGAAACTAGTGAGCGTCGACTGCAAGCAAGAGAAGGGCCTGCAGCAGCAGCAGCAGCAGCAGCGGCGCCCAGCGAGGCAGTGTCAGCTGGGACCTCGATCTGCCGGGAGAACGCAGTCATAACAGAGTGTTCAGTTTCTCTGTCTCCAAATCTTTTTCCTCTAAACATAGTATATATGGTGCATCTAATTTTATAAATGGGGAAAGAGGCTTAATAAGGTAAAAGATTTTGCCTGAGTAATATGAGGAGTCAGTCATATTCTAGACTACATTCTAGACATATTCTAGACTTTAATAACTACATCAGCAGGTGGCCAACATGCAGGTAGCTCGCTGAGACCCTGCAAAGCACCACCTACCCCCTCTTTTGACAGGTGCGGCACTAGAGCCTGTTATTTTTGCTGGGAGTGAAAAAAAAGTTTCAACTTTTATTACTATTTAATTTATTGCTATTTAATGTGTATTACATTATACAAACTTAGATATGTTCTGCAAGCATTATGTATACAGTTATTTAAGAAGCCAAAAAACAGTGCAGGTTTTCAAATGGTCTATAAGTTCTTGAAGTGTCAAATCTGTTGCTCTCAGAGGACTTGAGCCGGTTCCCAAAACACTGCTTTCTCACAAATAATAATGTGGAGTACTAATGCTAGAAGTCTACGCTTGTGATAGCCTCAAAGCTAAGAACTTACTTACACACACTCAACACTACAAATATCTGTCAGACAATCCTTTTATAAAGTAGGATTGAGTTGCAGGAACTCTAGCTATTTTCCCTTCATTCAAGGGTAAAAACGCTTGACTCGACAGATGTTTTAGTTACAAATCCCACTTGTCCAAAAGAGTGAGAGAGTCTAATTTGTTAATACCAGGCACCCTCTTATGCTCGTGACTCCTCCATTATATATTTCACGCTCCAGAAGGAACAGGCTGCAACATGGCTGCCTGTCAACAGTTACCACCCACATCATGGAGCCAAGATGCTGGAACTGGCTGTGGGAAAACAGTTCTTTGACACCAGATTAATTTTTCATAAATATTAATATGAAATTATTCAATATAGTTTGGAAAGCATTGTTTTTCTCATCTAAAAAGTATATAAGAAAATATTTACTACAAGCATTCGTAATATTTCTCTTTAGGAAATCTTGACCCCAAACTGGCATCATTTATGTACACATCTGCTTCTATTTTCCAGCCCAAGGCACGGCTCTTTGAAAAGTGGTTCCTAAATAGGGAGGAGCCAAAAAAATTAGTCCTGATGTTCCTCAGAATCTCTAGAATAATCACTGAGGTTAAAACTGGCAGATGGTAAGGGGAGAAACTGCAGCAGTTAAGCCTTTCAAATAAATGCTTAATGTTCTCAGATGGAAGACAGCCACTTCTACTTCCAATATTTTAAACCTTAACTTCACTGATCGAAAAACCCACTGCTATAAACTACCGAAGAGAGAGAGAGAGAGAGAGAGAGAGAGAGAGAGAGAGAGAGATGGCCAATAAGTGTATCTTAAGCAAACAATATGAAAATGACAAGATGGAAGTGACAGTTTCTAGCATTCCTAGTTCATTTCAAATGTGCAAAATTTAGCCAATCTTTTGGGAATCTATAAAAACAGGATGGCTAAGTTCTGTGGCCCCCTGAACTTTATCAGGCTCACTGCTGACCGCTGGAAGAAGCAGAGGTCTTCCAGTTTCGAGTAGAGAGAGAAGTGGCTCTCCCGCCCCAGCTGACGTCTGTGCACTTGAGACAGATGCCCTGCCATTGTGCTCTGAGTCAGATGGCGACAGTCAGAACAGCATGACCCGCAGGAAGGCAGCTGGCCTATCTTTTTCCCACAAAGAAGGGTCCGATTTTCAATGGAATCACAAGAGGTACTGCAGAAATTCACTACAGTAAGTACAACACAGGACTTGGCAGCAAACAGCTTCATCGCTGCTTACTTTAGAAATGAAAATGTATGTGTGGGTGAGGAGGTAGAAGTCAAGCACTACACATTATTGAAAGGTAGGGTGGAAGATTGTTCTTGTCTCCTTCTGGACTATTCTTTGACCTACCCCATCCCCTTAAAAAACAAAAACAAACCTAAAACCTATCCCACCCACTCACACACACAATTTATCTTCCCCATTGTGAGCTATGAATCATGTCCAAACCTGTATTAGAAGTAGCTAGGAGTCCAGGGTTGTGTTTTTCTTTACTCTAAGTTTATGAAAATGACTTTAGGATCCAATATAAGACAGTAAAATAAAGTATGGTTAATGTAAAACTAAGTATTTGTTCTCCACTATGGAACACAGAAAAATTCATTTATCCCCAAAGTCTGCAAGCCCTTGTTTTGTCAGCAGGTGGCAGCATTGCCTTGCGTTGGAGGCTGTTCCCACCGGGAGCCACACAACTTCCTTCCATCCTACGACCCCCTTTGGTCACTGCCCTGCACGGCCCCCCAAAAGGGTTTCCTCAGGGTGTACGAGTTGGCAAGCAAGGAGTCTTACTCCCCAGAAAAGCTTTGCGCTATCAGGGAAGTCGCTCCCAGGAGGCAGGTGGAGCGCTCTGGGGCGAGGCGACTCGCAGCCTGCTCACCGGCGCTCAGCCGCAGCTCTCTGCCTTGGCGGCTACAGGAATCAAACGTCAATTTTAGTTCTTCTTCTTTAAAAAAAAACAACAACTTCAAAAGTTCTAACTCTTCTTAAATATGATTTCATACTCACAAATCCTTGTTAGATTGCCATGTTTGGGACCAGGAGAACAAACGGAGAAAAATTTCAGTCATACATGGTGATATCAATTTTAACAGCAAGAGTAAAAGAGCTAGCTTTTTTGTAATTACAAAAGAGAAATAGAAAGCATATTGTCTGTGATGAAGAATTCTAGAAGTCCTTTGAGGAAAAATAAAAATATTTTTTAAATTTTAGGAGCCTCTATTTTTATTTTTTATTATTAAAAGGAGTATCTTTATTGCCCAGATAAAGATATCTTCAGAAAATCTAAAGGAGTCTATGAAATTGAAAACAACAAGAGCCCTCATAAGGTAGCAGAAATAATAATAATAATTTTATTTTTGTTAAGAGACAAGGTGTCACTCCGCTGCCCAGGCTGTGGTGCAGTGGTGCAATCATAGCTCACCACAGCCTGGAAGTCCTGGGCTCAGGTGATCCTCCTGCCTTGGCCTCCTGAGTAGCTGGGACTACAGGCTGATATTACCAGGCTAATTTTTAAAAAAATATTTTGTAGAGATGGGAGTCTATGTTGCCAGTCTAGAGCTCTTGGCTGCAAGGGATCCTCCCACTTCAGCAGTAGCAAAAATTAAAACAAAAAATACTGTTGAGCCAACTTGGCCAGTTTCCATAAAATGTCACAAATGAGGGACAGGCAGAGCATAGGAGACGCCAGGGGGAGGGAGTCTTGCCCTCTTGGCACTCCCTAGTCTGGCCTCAGGGAATCAAAGCATGGACCCAAAGGGCAGTTGAGGAAACACAGAATAAAAAAGTGGAAGGTGGATATCCCCTGTGGATACTTCTACCAACCTGTATTAGCCAGATGACCCACAGCTTATAAGCTCAGTAATACAGAGGTCATTTTTGGTTAGAGAATGAAAAAAAGGAAAAGTTTCTGGGACTTGGGGTCTAGGCATGAAGCAATTGATTATTACTGGCATCATCCATGAAAATCTTATAACAGCAGAAAATCTCCCTGGCAACTTTATGGAAACCATAGCTGAAATATGTCATTGTTAGTGACCGTACCAAATGAATGCAGATTCAGGGAAAACAACCCAAATAAAGAATAGAAGTTGTAGAGGAAAGAAAGAAAACATGTCCCACTCTACCCAAAGCCGAGGAAAAGACACAGGTCAGGCGAGGAGCCAGAATGAGAAATGAGGAAGTGTCAACCTCAATGACCAGCCGTTCCTAAAGGCGTCCTCAGGGGCTAGGAGGGGTGCGCTCTGACTCGTAGCCTGCAAGAACAGCTTTCCTGGGCTAGCATATGTTTTCAAGAAGATGGCCCTCCTGTGGTGGTCTGAATTTGACTTGAGACAAAAAACTCCTGCCAACGTGGCCTCCAGGCTGGTGTGAGGATGACCTGGGACTGAGATCTTGGTGGCCACAGCAAGCACCACAAGCCTGAAAGTGTCCCACTCGGTGACATGTTGCCATTACTCTAGTTATACGCTCACAGCAGTCAGGACAAACACTGTTCTATCCATGATCCCATTTTTACCAGGGAACCAGCCAGAACTTGTATATGGGGAGAAACAGAAAACGCCGTTTGCAGGGTAGGTGACTCTGACTCCTCACGTGTAGTCTGCTCTACTGGCCTCAACACCCCCACTCATGCTGCTCAGGCCTCTATGCTCTGCTCTGTGGAAAAAGATACAGCTAAGGGATCCAGCAATCCCAAGAAGATGGAAGTTTCTATTTTAGGTAGCTTTCCCCCAACCCTCACCCTAGAGGGCTCCCACAGCTTAGTTTGCAAACCCACACAGCCTGGATATGTGCTTGCAGATGACAGCCATTGCTGCTGCTTTCTTAACCTCCTTCTGTACTCTTAGACCATAACACCCCCTCCACCCCAATAAAGGTGTCCATCTGCCATTTAAAGAATCTAGCATGGCCACTTCCCAGTTTCTTGAATTCCCATGATGTCTACGGAAACCATCAGAAGGGGCACAGAGTGTTGGGGTGGGGGGGGGGATTCCAGGTGACATGGACATAACCAGGATTGCAGCAAGTTCCACAGCTGCCCACACACTGCCAAGCAGGTATCAAGTGACACGTTGCAGTTCTCCCGGATTTGGGTTGCCTTCCACCTGATGCCTCAGAGTTAAGGCCTCCATGTGCCATTTCCAAGCCCGTTAGTTCCCACTCCTGTGTTCATTCCTCTTTCTGCATCTGCCAGAAATTGCACAGAAACTAAGGAACTTGTGTGCAAATGGCTGCAAACACCTTCCCACCCTTCCACAAGTGCCAAAAACAAGCCCGCTAATGCTAATCTGCCCCCCTCACTTGCAGCTCAACAGCTTTTCTCCTTTAAGCCCCTGATAATGGTTTTACTAAAATCCCCTTTTGATGGGAAAAAATCCCAGCTGGACATTTCAGGCCCTGGCACAATATACAAGTCTGCAGGTCCCTTCCCTACCTCACAAAGGCCTCTAATCAAGTGGAAAATGTGCTGGAGGCCAGAGGTTTGGGTCTGCAATTATTTTTTAAGGGATTACTAGAGAAGAATAGGAGGCAGCAAGGACCTCCCCCCTTTGTTTTCTGTTTGGTCCTGCTTTTAGACATACATTGTCCAGTTTTCCAAGCACAAGAGCTTCATCTCTCCCTTCCTGGTAGAAGGATGTCATCTTTGAACACCATCACTTCAAACAGATTTAGAGAGTTTGGAAGCAATATGCAGGTCCTATTCTGACCCCATTTAAGCCCTTATTCATGAAACCACTATCGAACAGGACCCTGAGTGTGGGGAGAGCACTCATTCATTAACCTCTAACCCTGTCCTGAATGCAGAGGGGAGAGTTCGCACTGTGTCCACACACTGCTAAGACTGGGAGCATTCATTGGGGCTTCCCAGGCTTTGGAGGGCAAGAGGTCATGTTCCCAACCTTGCCAGACATCCTTCTTCTTATATACAGTGACCCTTCTCTTCCAGGGTGCGAAGAGTGAGCAAATACCCCCAACACTCATCATGCTTAATCTCAGGGCAAAACATGGATAAAAATACAAAACATTAACTATTTTTATTAGTATATTGGAATGTTCATTTAAAAATGTATACTGTGGAAGGAAGTTTGTCTTCTTTGTATATTGCAAAAGACCTTCTGTGATGTTGTTTCTGCATGAATGTTCATTAAAGATTAATTGGTAGAGATGAACATTTCAGGTTGGCCCTGGGTTCTCATCACTCTATTTCAGCACGGAGAGACTGCTCATCTTTCTAATCCTAGTTGGTTAGTGATGTATGCAAATACCCAGTAAAAAGGAAATGATTACAAATTCCTAAACTCATTCTGGAATGATCAAGGATTAGACTGTTTAGCTCTGAAAGTTAAAAGTCAGCATATATTTCAAAGTAAATACCAGGCTGAGTATAATTCTCAAGTCCTTTCTTCAAAGTTCCTAAAATACTTTGTGTCAAAAACAAAAAAATCAATAACTGCAGATTTTTTTTTTTAAAAAACCTCTGTTTTTTTTTCATCAGTAAAAATGACTTATAGGTATATTTTGCCTTACTGATTTTTTGGTTCGCCCTCAGAAGAACCCTAAATAATTGAGAAACAGATGGATGAAAGCACAAATATTATAGTTAATGCTTTTTAGTTAGTTAAAATTGAGTTAGTTAAATGTATAGTTAATACATTTAATACTTAATGCAAATATCATATTGGTATTTCTTGTTGGCTTTCATACTTCTTTTGGTGGGTGTTCCAGGAGGAGAGGACCCCACAGTTTCCTAAAGCAAGCAAGTAAGAGTGTCCTCTCTGGGGTCCCCTCCTCAGATAATGACAGACAGTTTGCCAAAGCACATCTGCTGGTCATCTCAAAAATGCTGGAACAGCTTTCTTCAGGAGTGAATAATCTTAACCCTACATTAGGTGAAGATGAACTTTGGAAAGGTGGAGTGACATATTCATGGCATCAAGGGAGACAGCGGAACTTCTCTAACGCAAAGCCTTAGGCGCCTCGAGGCCCTGCCCAGACGCCCCTCCTGGACCCGCTCACTTCTTCCCTTTGCTTATCGCCCTTATTTTGGGGTTCTTCATTATTTTTCAGCTTCCCTCTGCCCTTTTGTTCAACAAAATATCAGTTGTTTTAAAGGTTGCTCTTCCTACCAAAACCAGTTTGGGGAAGAGTAAAACAGTTTGGAAACAATAATTTAATAAAACAGTGACAAGAATGCATCTTAGATGTTTCAAGGCAGTTGAAAATTTTAGTACTTTGGAATATAAATATATTTTAGACTCTCATTAGATCACAAAGGCATATAAATAACTCAAAAAGCATGATGAACATAATTAGAATTAAGAGGTACAAAGTATGGGCTTTCAAATTAAAGAAAATTTTGCTCAAGGTCTAAAGAGAGAATTATGTTGATGTTGAAATGTTATCAGTCCAAAGTTCACTGTGTCAAACTGGCACACCTGAAATAGTCCATGAAGACAGGAAATGTCACCTCTCCCCACCCAGGTGCTGGGCAGCCGCAGGCTGAAATGGAGGCTCTCTTCTTGCAGGGCTTTCTTCAGCTCCTCTCTTAGGCCCTCATAACCAGGGTTCACCTAGCTCCTGCTCCAATAGCTTCAGTCTCTGTTGTATTGCCTAATATTTCTAAATGAGCACTGTTCACTCTTTTTGCACCATTTTTGGACATACTTGTCCTCTGTTTCTCCTGGCTACTTCTCCATGCCTATTGGCCTGAGGGCAGTGCCTGCAGACCCAACACTGAAACTCACCCTGCTCTGCCCTCCAAATCCATCTCAGGCACCTCCCAACAGCCATGGAATGCTCCAGAATCATCTAAACTCTGCATTCTATTTCCTCCAGGGCATGGGGGGCCAGAGGAGTGATAATGACCCCATTACTGTTTTGATTGGCAATGACCATACCACAGCTTTTAAGAATTATTTTTATTAAAATATGCCTGCCTATTTAAGGCTGGTCTTTAAAATAATACATAAATCCTTAATTTAAAAAAATTTTATTAAAAAATCTTCCAGAATAGGCAAATTGGATGCCAAGGCAAAGAAAGATGAGCTCTCCAACCCTCGCCTCCTCCACTGCCCTCCTCTGCGGCAACCAGGTGAGGGCTGCCTCCTCCTCCACCCAACTCCGGCTGTCAGAGCTCCAGCAGCAGCGACGTGACAAATGCCCCAAGTTTGGCTCTAATAGAAGACTTATTCTTGATTTGTATAAGATCTTGAAATTAAGCATTTATCCAAATAGGTTAAGCCCCCAAAGGGTCTATGGTAACCAGGCAACATTAAGAATTTCTCTCCGTGGTCTCCTGCTTAAAGTTTCTCTCTGGGAACTATTAGTTTATCCACATAGCGCTGACAGTCAAAGGCAGGGCCCACAAAGACTGAGTGGCTCTATCAGTTGGTTACACAGCTCCCCAATACTTTAAAAGCCCATAAAAACACTAACAAATATTCCTTCTGACCAACCCATTA